GCAGACGGGCGCTATGAGGTGCTTTTCCTGGGCACAGGTACCCACGCCGCGCACCGCGGGGAACGCAGCATGCTCCGGCGCGGCCCCGGAGGGCATGGGCACCACCAGGGCTGGCCAGAGCACGGTGCCCTCCGCCACGCTGGAGAGGGGTGAGGGGCTGAGACCCCCCCCGAGATCCCTGCCCCTCCTCGAGGCTCCAGCCTGGTTCTTCCCCTGCCCCGGTGCCCATCCCCGAAGCCAGCGATTTAGCATGGTACCTCCCATCCTAGGGATGCCACCATCCAGCCTGGTCCTCTCCCTGCCCCGGTGCCCATCCCAGGGGTCCCACCATCCAGCCTCATCCTTTCCCGACGCCAGTACCCATCATACATGCTTCCCGTTACCCATCCTAAGCCCACCATCATCCAACCTTGTGCCTCCCCTGCCTGATTGCCCATCCTAGAGGCACCAGCATCCAGCCTTGTCCTTCCCCAGCCCCAGTGCCCATCCTGGGGACACCATCATCCAGCCCGGTGCTTCCCCTGCTCTAATGCGCATCCCAGAGCCCCCATGATCCACCCTGGTCCTTCCCCTGCCCCAGTGCCTGTCCCCAGCTGCTGTCCCCACCCTGCCCTGGGTGGTAGCAGTCCCTAGCCACAGGTGGTGACCTGAGCCCGTATGCCGCACCCCAGGCACAGCTGTCCACTGCGGCAGATGGGCTTGGAGGGATCCTTCCTCCCCCCAACCCCAGCAGGGACCCCCTTCCCAGGCGGTGAGGGCACAGGTGTCCAGGAGTGGCACTGAGTGCCTGGGCACCATCGTGTCTTGCAGACAGGGGCACTGTGCAGAAGGTCATCGTGCTCCCCCGGGATGACATGGAGACAGAGGAGCTCATGCTGGAGGAGATCGAGGTGTTCAAGGTAAGGACTGACCTGTCCTCCCACCCTCTGCTGAGTCTCCTCGACCCAGCCAACCAGCCCTTTGGGACATCAGCCAGCCCCTTGGGACACCAACTACCACCCCTTGGGACAGCAGCTATCCCTTGACCGGATCTGGAGGGACCCCAAGCATTGGTCCTCCTGCCTGCTGCCCCCTCGCATCTCCCCCTGCCCACCCCTGCCTGCCCCAGCTGCCTCCAGCAGGTCTGGGGTGCCCACCCTGGGGCTGCGGCATCAGGCCAGGCGGTTGCCCCTCCATCTCTTTC